CCGTTACGGACGACTGCCAGTTAACGGACGACTGCACGTGACCGGACGACTGCTTAACGGACGACTGGCGTTACGGTACGACTGCGTTTACGGACGCCTTGCGTTACGGACGCCTGCGTTACGGACGCCAGGGCGATTACGACCGCGCCTGCGTTACGGACCCAGCGTTGTGGACGCCAAGCGTTACGGATGCCTTCGTTATGGACCAACGTTTTCTCGCAGATATATCAAATACTCGAGGCGTCACAATAACGTTGTTTTCCAAAATTAACTTTGATTATCTTAAAAATGTGTAATGCTGTAACAGAAAAAAACGCAAATGCTAGTATATCATAATGTTTCTTCATTGCATTCGTAAAAGTTTGAAAACTTTTACGAATGCAACTCATACAATAAAGCTTAACATTATAAACTAATTGCATTAACTACTATTATTACACTACTTGGACACATGAAAATTACTCATAGGTGCTCTTAGCTTTTAATACAAGACACGCAAGTTTGCCATATATTTGTTAACTCCGTCAATTGATAATTTGATCGAAACAAATAATCCAATTTTCAATTTACTTTTGTGATCTCTGATTCATCTGAGTTGAAGCAACGATCTATTATATTAAAATGTTATATATTTTTACAAAAATTCTCTGAGAATCTTAAATTTACAACTTTAACAAGAACGTCATAGATATAGAAATAACATTGAAATGAAAGGACATTGAAAGCAGCTGCTTTCAAAGTAGCAAGGTAACATCGCTTCGCTGCCGTTCCATCCTGATTCTGTTTTCGTCTCGTTGCAAGACAAATTTAATTCGGTGGCGGCTTCCACTTGTATTAATAAACTTCTGTAATGTGTCGAATCAGGTTGGCCAGGTTACAGAGTTCGACAAAATTTTCATTCCTTAAGCTCTTTTGAAGTTCTGGATTTTCCTCTAATCTTTCCTTCTTGCCGCTGCTCCATAAGCGGAGGCCATATCTTTGCTACGACACCACTCCGTCATCTGTCATAAAGGTTTGACGTTTTTATTACCTTCATAAATAATCCTACTGGATAAAATACGTGCCAGTTAAACCCAACGGACGACATTCATGATTAAATATAGTTCTATTTCACTTCGTCGACTTTTGCTTTTAACAGATTTTCTCCGCATTTTCTCGAATTGTGGAAAATTTTGGAAAAGAATTACAGAAGGTAATTACAATTTTACATCGAGTTTCGTTTTATGGAGCACACGTTAGTGAGCATATGGACCTGCGTGGAAAAGAAAAAGTACGAAATAAAATGTTTTACTAAATCAGTAAACCTCTCAAAAAAGTTATTTTTCACAAAGTGAAATCTTCTGACTCTTTGAATACTTTTGGTAAGAAACTCGTTTCATTGGCATCAATTGTTAACTCTCATTCGTTTTTATTTCACTAATATTGAGATTAATTTCAGTTTAATAGATTGAAGTGTTACAAATTGAATGTTTTATGTATTGGGGAAAATGAACTATCCAATAGATTTTAACTGAGGATGATATGATTCCCTGACCAATTCCGGAAAAACGAGTAGGCGGTATTGTAAACTTTAGAAACTATGTGTCAGCGTTTCTCGACTTTTTAGCCACTACGATACCTTTAAACTCTCTCGATATTTCATCGTACCCTAGAGGAAAACATACGTTTTTTTTGTTTTAAAAAAATGGAAGATCGCACACCATCAACACAAGCAATGTTTGTGATGCCACGTTTTGCACAACACCCACGGCGATTTATTTGCCTCCAAAGAGAGTCGAGAGAATATTTAAAAAATGTTCATTACCTTGTGAATGTTCATGCGTACTCCCGCGTTAAATTAATTATGCACTTCTGAAATTAGAACAACACAACAAAAAGCAGCTTCATCTTTGAAAATCACCTGAATTATTCAAGCTTCTGCGTTACACACCACCCAACGAATCTCGAACTTCGCTGTGCCGAAATATTATGTCAGTCGAATTTGGTTTCGCTTCCCTTTCGAGATGTAGAATTGTTCGCGTGTGTCTATGGAACACCATAGACCACCCAATTTGGTTTCACTGTGGGAAACAAGAGTAAATAAAATCCAACTTTTTATATCTTTTAACGAGTTCCCCCATTCCCGTATGTCCCGTCGGCACTTTCATCCCCGGCCCTGCCACGTCGCGCCGTCCCTCACCAACGCGTGGAGCACAAGCGGGTCTTCGCTCAGCGCGCGTCGTTAAAAAAACAAACGCCGCCCACAGCGCGTCGCCGGCGAGCGAAGACTCTCCAACGGGGCACTACGCGGCAGCACCACGCCGCGCGCGCCGCGCACCTCATGTATTTCTAAGGCACGCGCAAATGTAAGTCGGCGGCGGTGAATGCGTGCGGAGAGGTGATGCACGTGGTGGCGAGCACGGGCGGGGTGAATGGAGATAGCGGCAACGGAGGTGTCAAAGGTTGTGGAGGTGAGCGAGGGAAATGTGCTGGTAATGTATGTGATGGGGGGTGGAGATGGAACTGGTGATGAGAGAAATGGAGGCAGTGATGTAGAGGATGGAGGTGATGAAGGTGATGGAGGTGATGGAGGTGGTGGTGGTGGTGGTAGTTAGTAAGTGATGTGGGTGCGTGGTGGGGGTAGGTAGTAGTGATGGTCTGGTGGTGCGTGGTGGCGAGGGTTGGTCGTAGTAGTAGTGATGGTGGTGCGTAGAGTGATGGTGGGTTGGTTGGTGATGGTGGTTTCTATGTGACATTGTGGGTGGTGATTAAAGTGATATGGTGGTGGTGATGTAAACTGATATGTCGGTGGTATTGAGTGGCTGATATGGTCGGTGGTGATGCAGAGTGATTGGGTGGTGGTAGGTGACCGAGAGTGATATGAGTAGGTGGATCAGGTGACGAGAGTGATATGGTGGTGGTGGTGACGAGAGTGATATGGTGGTGGTGGTGACGAGAGTTATATGGTGGTGGTGGTGGTGACGAGAGTGATATAGTGGTGGAGATCTAGGTGATGGCGGTGATCTAGAAAATGTACGACATGGTCCTGATGTAGGAACGGTGGTGATGCAGAGCATAGTAGTTGTGATGATCTAAGTGATGGTGGGATAGGTTGTGGTAATGTAGGTGATGATGGGGAGATAGTGGAGATGAAGGAGGTGGTGGAGGTGAACGTTGAGGAGGTGGTGGTGGTGATGGAGATGGCATAATGGGGGAAAGAGAATATGACGCAGTTGGTCACTGCAGTAATGGAGACAGCTGGTAAAAGAAATGGCAAAAACCGTGGAGGCACGGGTGACGACGCGCGTGGCTACAGCGTTAGGAGCAGAACGAGTACTTGCTACGAGGCATGATGGAGTTTGCGAGACCAACATGGGGCGACAGCGAGGGGACTGTGCGCAGAAGCAAAGCGCAGCACCGAGCACACAGGCGTCCGCGCCGCGCCGCGCCGAGCTGCGCGCATGTAAAAACGCTCATTAAAGGAATTTCTCTCTTGGCCCGCGAGAGCGCGGTTATGACTCGACATGCGGCTACCACAGAGGGCGCTGTGTGAAAGAGACTGAACGTAAAATGCTGCGCTTATAAAAAGGACAAACCTGCGCCTCTGCAGTAGCCGGCAGACGCGGCGTCCTAAAAGTTGCGTGATTACCAGCCACCTGCGCTAGGTTGTACGTGCAAAATTTAACCATTCGCGAACATAACTTATTATATAAAACAGAGAAAATTAATGTTTTTAATGTATGAAACTTTATTACGCGAGCCGTGAAAAACATTTCTTGCATTGTATCTCGGTTGAATCTTTTCCAAATTGTTACTGTTTTTACAAATTAACGAATGCTGCAAAACTTTTACAATTCAAAATATATTTTTTATTCTGAAGAAAACTACTTCAAAACATCCCACGTAATATAAATTGCACAGGTGATAAAAACAAAAAAATAAATAGTAATAGAATCGCTCACTGCACAAATATGTTCTTAAAAGGGCAAATGTACGCTTAAATTAACCACAGAAAGTAAAAAAATACAATTTTGAGAGTAATGTAATATGAAAACCTCTTGTTTGTGTTGTTAAAGAAGTATAAAGCTCTATATGAGTTATGGCAGTATTTTAAGTTACAGTTATTTTTGTAACGGTTATTCTGAGTGAAACTTATGAGGAAAATACATTGTAACGGGCAGCAGGTGGTGTGTAAAAGTTATATGTGCCTTCCTAATACTTGATAAGGTCCTGCTTAATGCAGACTCTTTGCATATTCTACCACGTTCATCTCGAACAAAAAATAAATTCACGGCATCCCTCACGTTGAAATTTTTCATTACATTTACAAAACATCAAACCGTGCAACCACAGGGATCTACTAATACTAAAGTGTACTAATTGTCGATCAAGAATTAATGTCTCGGTAATGGAAACGATAATTAAATTTTCGTTCTTGAAGTTCAGTTTGCAATTAAGCACAACATTTTACCCTTAGCGTGTTCGAACAGTGTTACACGGGGAAGGGGCACAAACTCCAACACGCCAGTGTCAAGCAGCGAGCTGGAAGCGAAAGTTGGCTTCAGGTCTTGGCAACGCGCGAGAAAAATGAAAGTGAACGAGTCGTTTGTCCCCTTCCCGGCTCTGGGGAAACAAAATTAATTTACTAAATTGAAAAGAAAAGAAGTGACTATCACCGAAATTGATAGCAAATTGGCAGTAATTAAGATTGCACTTAAACGGCGTTTAACAACTTCCTCAAAAGAATCATATTTCATTTCCGGACTCCTTCTCCCTGAAGCCGTCCCAACCGGACGACAGCCCCGCAAGAACCAATTACTCCATTTCTGGAAACCACCACTATCCTTCTTTCTCGTTCCTTTTCGCCTCGTCTTTCTTCACTCACTAATTTCAATTTTATGCCTCTTTCTGTTCTATTTTCCAGTTCTCAATTTTTCGTGTTGTCACCCTGTAATAAGTTTCCATCCATTGTTTTCTGCCGGTTCGCAAAATATTCCTTTCTCTCATTCTCTCTCCCTCTCGCGTTCTTTATGTTGTTCCTCTATTTAATGTTTAATTTACCCGTTTTTACATTATTATTTCTGCGCCCGCTCCTCATTTCCATAATGAAGTCTCTGCAAATTAACCCCTTTTTCAGTCGCTTTTCTTCGTACATTTTGCTTCACTTTTATATACACTGCTTGTGTCCCAAACTTTGTGACCATTTCCAAAATCCAGTTTTCTCTAGTACATTTACCTGAACTAAACCCATCCATTTGTGAAATGATGTACTGTAATCGCCCTTCACATTGCAATGCTCATTGGAGAACATTCTACACCTCTGCTAATCGCATTCTCTCGCAATATACCGACATAACGTACACCGTCTGAATAGCTTTGATGCCACACTTATCACGCTGTCAACGCCTCACACTCGCCCTCTTCATCACATTCTTCGCCCTCCATATCTCAACTGGGAGGGGATGCCGAGGCGGGACGAGCCGACAACGGATAGCTGATTTAACAAAGGTTCCCCCCCACCCTGCAAATAGTCATTTCCCGCCTGCGAATATTAATTTTCTTTGCCGCTAATTCTTCTTCGTGTCTTTTAAATCTTATCCTCATTCGATAATCATCTTTTCTGGTATTCTAGGTTTTAGAATGTTTGATAAGATCCCTTCCATTCCAGCCCTCCTCCCTCGTCATTTCAAGCCCTCCTCCCTCGTGCCATTCCAGCCCTCTCCCTCGTCCATTCCAGCCCTCCGTCCCTCGTCCATTCCAGCCCTCCTCTCGTCATTCCAGCCTCTCCGTCGTCCATTTCCAGCCCTTCCTCCTCGTCCATTCCAGCCCTCCTCCTCGTCATTCCAGCCCTCCTCCCTCGTCCATCTCCAGCCTCCTCCCTCGTCCAAATTCAGCCTTCCCTCGTCCATTCAGCCTCTCCCCGTCCATTCCAGCCCTCCTCCTCGTCCATTCCAGCCTCCTCCTCGTCCATTTCCAGCCCTCCTCCCGTCCATTCCAGCCCTCCTCCCTCGTCCTTCCAGCCCTCCTCCCTCGTCCATTCCGCCCTCCTCCTCGTCCCTTCCAGCCCTCCTCCTCGTCCATTCCAGCCCTCTCCCTCGTCCATTCCAGCCCCCTCCCTCGTCCATCGCAGCCCTCGTCCCTCGTCCTTCCAGCCCTCCCTCCTCGTCCATTCAGCCCCTCATCCCTCGTCATTCCCAGCCCGTCCTCTCTCTCCATTCCAGCCTCCTCCCTCTTCCCATTCCAGCCTTCCTCCTCTTCCATTCCGCCCCTCCTCTTCCATTTCCATGCCTCCTCCCTCTTTCCATTCATGGTCTCTTACGATCTCTTACAAGATTCTCATCGTCCTCTTCGCCGTTTCCCGCGCCGCGTTTTGCGAGGGTGGGGGGGGGCGAAGTGAAACTGCCGACACAGGGCCCCTCCTCCTCTCCTCCCCCTCACGTCGTCTTCTTCAGGCGGCGTGCAATAGCCGCGCTGCCATGTGGCTGCCGGGCGCTGTCACGCGCCCACGTTTTCGGGGCCGCCCATCACCCGGCGGCCGGCAGCCGTGTTCGCCGGCGCGGGGGCGGACGGGCGCGCGCCTAACACACCGGACCCCGCCACCCCTTCCCCACTCCTCCCCTTCCCCCCCGCCCCACCTCTCCGTTGACCGCCTCGTGCACGGCGGCCGCGAGGGGTGGGCGGCGGCGCCCCCCCCCCCGCGTCAGGCACGCCGCGCCGCCCGCCGCAGGCCTATGTTTCCGCCTGCAGGTGGGGCGAGAATTCGGCCCTGCGGAACTCCCGAACCGGACAAAACAGTCGCTAGATTCCCGAAGGAGAACTATGCGAACTTTGCGACTCGGAATCTGATCGAACTGTATTTTTTGACAAAGTGGTGGAATTGGTACATGTAATGTTTTAATGTTTCTATCTTTAGTGTTTGGGGTATTCGAGGTGAATCGCTTATGGTGTAGTTAGTTAACCTGAACACATGTTTTGAGTTTATGTAGACTGTAATTACCGTATTTACAAAGAAACGAGAATCTAATACCATTTTCTCATATCGTAATACATAATAGAACGATAACATCTTCATTAGTTGTGGAGAGCAAAAAATATAATTCTAAATTCACATAAATTTGTGCTCTCTACACATTCAACATACTTCCTTAGCAACCATACTTTTTTTAAATCTGATATCTGTTTGTGGTTTCAATGTAACAAAGCTTTCTTTCGGTTGAAATTATTTTTCGGTCCAGTTCAATCAATGGGTGTATTATATTAATTTTGCCGTTACTATTATATTTCATGCAACTTACGTACTCATTGCAATGAAAGTTCCTTTCAAACAATGCACAAATAGCAACTACTACAATTTTGAGTAAAGGCGGGTATAGCCTAGTTGCTGCATTATGTTCAGGAGAAGCAGGAGTTCCATTGTGCAGAAGATTATCCTTTTCCAATAAACGATATTTATGAAATTTCTATAAAATATTATGCCAAATTCATAATATATTCAATTAAAAATGTTTCAATAAAAAATATAAAACACGAACAATTCACATTTTTTTAAGCGGTTACCGGTTTTTATTCGAAGGTCACCGCGTACGTTGTCATTTATTTTTCCCCACGACAATCAGGGTAATGTCAATTCACGTATATACAAAGGATTAACGTATAACATGCAGATCCTTATCGGGAAGAATAAAAACAAACTAATAAATATCAGTATTGTTCATTTCAAATTACTCTAATAAACAGCATTACGTCCACATGTGACATGAACAATTCTAATATTTGAAGCGAGACTTTATTGACTTAATGCATAGGATTATATGTAATGAATTTTTGCCAAAATAATTGAAATACATATTAAGATATTAATACGTTTCTCTTAAGTTACTGCGTTTATATGTATCGATGTGTGTGCGATGTGTGTATCGTATACGTTACCATATGAGTGGCTGTTTTCATATTTATTTTTGTTATAACGAACAGTTGTTTGCTTATTTGTTTTCTGTAGCGTTGTAATCGGTAAAAGATTTCAAAACATCTACACTTTCCAATAAAATCATGCAAATAAATAAACCAAGAGGATAAATTAGATTTTCAAAATTAGAAAATGTAATTCTTTATCTTCATCTGATGACAAGTCTTGACATTATCCAATCAAGTGTCAATGGCTCCCATCTCGATCAGATTTTTGTCCAGTTTCCCTGATCCATTGAGCAAT